TCTACATTTTCATGATGTCAGCCTCTGCCCTGTTTTCCCACAGCCCAAGGGATGGGAGCTGCTTCCTGAAGTCACTGCACCCTTGGTGCCTGAGGGTCCTCCTCTTCCTCTCATTTACCTTGATACCTGTACCCCCGTGAGATTCTCTGCTCATCCCACATGTGTGGCTTCTTTGAGATTCCCATCCCAGTAGAATGGAGGGAGGCCCAGTGAGACCAGGCTGGCTGTGGTGTTCGATGCTGCTGTCTCTGGTGGCTGGAATGGTGTGTGGCTGCCCTCATCCACAACCCATGTGCTGAACAGAGTGGGTGGACTCACCTGCCAGTGAAGTGTGAGTGGCGAACGTCCTGGACCCGGCTCTTGGCGAGCATTCTGCAGTGTCATCTCCTTGTCACACCTTGGTGTTGGAGTCTTACGGTCCAGTTGTTGGTGTTGGACGGTTACGGTCCAGTTGTCGGTGTCGGAGTCTTACAGTCCAGTTGTTGGTGTCAGACTGTTATGGTCCAGTGGTTGGTGACGGAGTCTTACGGTCCAGTTGTCGGTGTCAGAGTCTTACGGTCCAGTGGTTGGTGTTGGACTGTTATGGTCCAGTGGTTGGTGTCAGAGTCTTATGGCCCGATTGTTGGTGTTGGAGTCTTACGGTCCGGTTGTTGGTGTCGGAGTCTTACGGTCCGGTTGTTGGTGTCGGAGTCTTACGGTCCGGTTGTTGGTGTCGGAGTCTTACGGTCCGGTTGTTGGTGTCAGAGTCTTATGGTCTGGTTGTTGGTGTCGGAGTCCTACGGTCCAGTTCTTGGTGTTGGAGTTTTACAGTCTAGTTCTGTGGTTTAGAAGACTTGGGTGTTGGTTAGCTATGAGGCCTTGGGTATGTGGCCCGGATGATGCGGGCCCAAGTGCCTACAGCTGGATGGTCCTGGAGTCGGTGTGTCTCTGCCACCCATGCCATCCCTCAGCTGGGAACGTGTGTTGCTCTGTTCATTTCTCCTGTCTCCCTTCATGATGTGGATTTCACTACTGGGGAGGAGAGGTTTGCTTCACAACCTGGCCAATGAGCTTTTCTAGCCTGGGCTTAGCTCCACACCACTTATGGCTCTGTCTTCCCTCTGGGTGCTGTGGAACACACGCTTCAGGCCATCCCGTAGCTGTTGCATTTTCCCAGAGTCTTAGACCAGGCCTGTAAGGGAGCCCAGGTTCAGCTGCTTGCTGCTTGAAAGCCAGACACAAGAGGTGAGAGTGGCAGAGAAAATCAGATGTATTCGGAGAGCAAGCAGATCAGGAAGATGGTGACCTTCAGTCACAAAGACCATCTGAAGTCAGTACACATTTCAGACTCTTCTCATGCTAAGGGTGGGGGCAAGAGGAGGTTTTGGGACCAGGAGGTGACCGATGACCACAAACATCTGGGTGCCAGCGAGGGTCCGAGGAGGTTGGGAACTTCTCTGCCCTTGGCCAGGGCTCAGTGCTCCTACGAATCTTTAACAAAGCCTAGTTAGCTGTTTACACACTTGCCCTTTCATCTCAAAGTTAGTTTGGAAAACTACTTGATTGCTGTTTTTGCATTATTACCTCAGTATTCGAAAAGCTAGGAGTGGGTAAAGACCCCTCAAGCAATAGTGGAGGGATGTGCTTGTTCTGCCGAGTTGCTGTTGCAGGCTGGGGGCCGGGCTTGGGGCACCTCAGTGCCTGCTGCCGGCTTCACGGAGGTGGCCTAGGTGGCAGAGAGCAGGTCGGAAGCCGCTTAGGTCACATCCGGTTCCTGGAGGCTGGTCTTGGCACATGGCTCTATTTCGCTGAGCCCTGGTCCTCAAGCTTCGGAAGCCTGGGCTCTGAAGCAGGATAGCTGCTGTCCTGTGGCCATGTGTGACTCCCGTCTGCTCTCGATGGGGAGGACTCCAGCCCCACATGTGCCTCCACACAGATGTGAGCACACCCTCACTCAAGATGCAGTATGTGGGTTTGTGGGGCTCCCTTCAAGGCTGCCCAACATCCTGTGCTGAGGGCACTTCCCAGTGCAGCCCCTTACCCCTCTGCCTTGCCAGACACCTGTGCCATGCCTGTCACCTGAAAGATGGCTCATTCTTGCCTTTGCACACCCTGGCTTTAAAGCAGAGGGCAGGGAATGGTGGTATTCTTCTAATTAAATGACCACACAGAGCTGTGATTTAAAGCGCTTGTGAACTTTTGCACCTCAATTCAGTGATTCAAGAGGAGATTTTACAGCCCTTGACTATTGAATTGGCCCATGAATAGTTTAAAATGGAACTGGAGCTCAAAATAGCCTCATAATATGTGCTTCCTCTGAGCTCTGTGCCCATTTGTAATTGTATTTTGCGTTTTTGGTTATGGAGTGCCCGGAGGTGCAGTGGGCCCTGGCCAGTGCTGCACCCGGAGTCAGTGTCTGTGCAGGGCTGTCCGTGGTGGCTGATGTGATGGGAAAGACTCAGAATAGTTTCCTCTGACCAAAGAAGACTGACTGGCTGTGGGGCATTTCCCCACCCGCCAAGCAAGTAGTCCATTCTGCCTGGGACACCAGCCAGGTGTCCCCTCGCTCAGTTTCGTTCTGACACTGTCTACCTGGAGGTGGCGTCAGATCCCTGAGGCGAGGGTTCTGTCCCCAGCTCTGGTGCCAGTCACAAGCCACAGGTGTGCCTCTGACTGGCTGACTGTAAGTTGGGGTTCCTACCACCCAGTTGGGATTCCCCTTGGGTTTGATTAGTCTGCTGGAGTGTCTCACAGAACTCAAGGAAACTTGTGTTTACCAGTTTATATATATAAATAACCCAGGTTGCTGTGAAGGACACAGCTGAGTAGATGAGCATGGCGAGGAGTAGGGGAAGGACGTGGAGCTTCCACATCCTCCCCGGCCACCACTCTCCCGGAACACCAGAAGCTCTCCCCGCTCAGTCCTTTTGAGTTTTTATGGAGGCCTCGTTAAGTGGGCATAATTGACTCTACTGCTGGTCATTGGTGAGCTACTCAGCCTTCAGCTGCTTTCCTTCCCCGAGCTTGGGGGTGGGGCTGAAGTCCCAAGCCTCTAGTCCAGCCTTGGTCTTCCTGGGGACCAGCCCTGTCCTGCAGCTGCCCAGGGGCTGCAGCCACAGTTGGTTACTGGCAAATGGAAAACCTCACTCGGGAGAGTCCAAGGATTTTAGGAGTTGTGTTCCAGGATGTGGCTTGAAGATGAGATACATATTTCACAAGATCACACGAGGCTGAAATGAAATGCACGCGTCCTGAACACCAGTGCATTGGCCCCACGTCGGTGGGCTTGTGCGACTTTTGCCGGGGCTGGCCTAGGGTGGCTAGGCAGGGGGTTCCCACCACGCTTGGCTAGATCAGGACTGCCACCAAGTCCTTTCCAACATTCTGTGAGTGTTGGATTCACATTCACTTTCAACTTACGCTTTATTAAAAGATTCATACTAAGTTACAGTTGAAAACCCTGTATTGACTTCACTCAGATGTGAAGTAGAAAACATGAGTCCAGTGGAGACCTCCATCAAAGAAAATGTTATCTGCCAGCCCTGGGAATTAAGCTTTTCCTCAAGTCATGCAGCTAAAGCAACGTAGAAACAGTTGGATGCCCAAAAAGGTTGAAGCCTGAGGCTGATATTCATGGCCTCATCCCACATTTCTGTGTTTCCAAACAGCCTCCTGGGTGTCCCTGAGGGTTGCCTCACAGGACTGTTGTCAGTGTTACCTTTTCTCTCATCCCAGTGCTGTGTTTTATTTCTTTGATATTTAGTGAAGATTTCCTTTGGAAAGAGATTTAATGATGCTTAATACAGTCATGTGCAGCTCCCGTTTTCCAGCGTTGTCCCATGCCTCACCTGCCCAGGGCTGTCTGGTTGGGGCTGGGCCCTCCGCTGACTCGCCCCCTCCCTGGGGTGGCCTCTCCTTTCTCCTGGCTGCGTCCCTTCCTCGGAATGCCCTTGTGTCCGGCCATCCCATCCGGGAGGTAGCATCCTGCCTCACCCTCTCCCTGGGGCAGCCTCTCTTCTCTGCGCCTTGCTGTGCCCTTCCTGGGAGTGACCTCGTGTGGAGAGGTGGAGTCCTGGGGCTCCTAGAATCACAGAAAGCCATTGCATCATGGGTGGGTTCTTGGAGTCAGGGTCAGTGGTTGCTGTCATTTTCCTGGCTCCCAAGTTGGCTTTTGAAGGACAGATTGAGAGAGAGAGAGAGAAAGAGAGGCAAGATCCAAACCCCTGAGGCCCTTTACTGCCAGGCCATGAACTCGGAGGTTCACCAAGAGTGGCTCGGAGCCACCAAAGCCTTCAAAATCACTAGACCCAGCCCCTCTCTGCCGTCTGAGAAGACAGGTTGGTGCCCCATGGCAGAGGGGCTGAGTGAGAGCCATTGAAAAGCTGTCGTGGTAACAGGTGACAGGCAACCAGCACAGTGACTGCGGCAGCAGCTGTGGGGAACGTGCAGGGAAAAGGAAGGTTTAAAAAGCAGAATTGAAAGGAACCATCAGACGCCTGAAGAGGTGGACAGGGAGAGCCTCTTGGGCAGCCTGGTGTTGACCCTGCCCATGATGTTGGCTCCCAGGAGGCCTCGGGTTCCCAGTGCTCCGTGCCAGGCTGGGCTTTCAACCCTGCAGAATGTTTTTAGAACAGGCCCCCCCAAGGCGCCCGGCATTTGCGTCCCTGCACCACACCGCACATCTGCGGTGATTCAGAGGGAAGCGCTGGCTCTGCAATCTCGCTCATTCAGAAGCCCCGTCTCCCGAAGGGCTGCATCGCCCACAATTTTTCCCATTGTGTGTGGAGTTGAGCTCCCTTCCCCCTCCCTGCCGTGTTCTGGGATCACCCTGGGAGTCTATTTGAAATCCAGAAACTCCTGAAAGGCCTTAAGTAGCTATTCAGCAGTGCGGAAACGGCAGTGAGGGGGTTGCACGTGCAGCTCTATTTTAGGACGTCCTGGTGGGCTCGTTCCTTGGCTGGGACAGGTTGGGGTAGTCACCCTGGGCTTCATTGCTCTGCCCTCTTGTCTCTCCCGTGCAGCGCCCGGGGACTGGAGAAGGCCAGGCAGCAGCTGCAGGAGGAGCTCCGGCAGGTCAATGGTCAGCTGCTGGAGGAGAGGAAGAAGCGCGAGACACATGAGGCGCTGGCCCGGAGGCTCCAGAAACGGGTCCTGCTGCTCACCAAGGTGATTTATGCACTCACATTTGGATCAGAGTCACAGGGAGCTGTGGGGGAGCACACACCCGGTCACAAGATCTCACTCTCCCTGGCAGGAGTCCTGCAGCTGGGTCAGGGTTTGCACTTTGGCTCTTTTGCCAGGACGGTTCTGGGAATGCCAGAGGGTGCTCCCAGCCTTGGTGTTCCCTGTGGGACTCTCTGGGCCTGGTGTGCGCTCCACTTTTTTCAGTTCCCCCAGCATCCCAGTGTCCACTCCTGGCCCGGTGCTGTTCCCTGAAGAGTGTTCCCTGTCCCTGTGGATCCTCTGCAGGGTCCCTGTCCCTTGTAGTCAGCACTCTCACGCTTTGCCATCCAGTGATGCAGGTTCTGCTGTGTGGATCTTGGCCCAGGGCTTGGGACAAAGGCTGTCACCTGCTTCCAGGTGTGCCCCAGCCCCACCTGTGGGGTGGCTACATGGCCTGATTCTCTTATTGTCGGTGCCTGCAAGGGTTCTGACGTCTGGCACCCTAAGCAGAGGTTGCTGGAGCGTGAAAGAAAGTTTTCGTGAGTGTTGTTTAAAATGTTCCTTGGGCACTGAAATTTTGGAAGGCAAGGCAGGAAATAAGTTAGTCTGTTCCCAGATGCCCTGTAGGCCAGGGAGGCTGTCCAGCTTGCTGGGCAGAGACTCCCCCTGCCTGCCTCCACTAGTGCTGAATGGGTGGAGGGCTGTGCCACCCTGGGGCCCAGGACGGGTGCCGCACCTGTCAAGGACCGAGAGTTGTGCCTAATGAATGTTTGCCCGTTCTTAATTGTTTTTGATGAAAACCAAGGCTTGTTGCTGCTGAGACCCCTTGGTTATGGAGCTTTGAGAAAATGAGTTACATTTCCACTACTGAGGACTGATGTTTTATGGCTTCTCCAGCACATTCCTTTGAGGGGCAGCATGCTGTCTCCTTAAGGAAAACTTCACATGGGCCTAGGTCCTTTGAGCACCGTGTGGGCTTCCTGGAACACAGGCTGAGCTGGCCTCTGTGCAAAGCTCAGTTGCTGACCCCTGAGCCCTGGCTTTCCATGTGCAGCCCAGACAAGGACCCTCCCAAATGTCCTCACGTGGCTTTTCAGCTGGAGCTGTCTGCCGCCTCTGGCAGAGGGGACACTGAGCCCTGTCGCATGGTCAGGCATGATGCATATCTGTGGAGCACTCTCTGGGATCTCCCTCTGCGTTCCCTTCTCTTCTGACACTGTGTCTGCTAGTGTGTCACCTTCTAAGCAAGATGCATGAGGTGCATGTGGCACAGATGTGTGGGCGCAGCCCTCTGGAGAATTCACTCTCCAGCCTGGTCAGGCAGTAGCAACAAACGAGCACCTTCCACCCACCTCAACAGAGGTGGACGGTGCAGTGGTGTCACAGAAGGGATTTTCTCAGGAGGCAGCATTCCTGCGGGGACCCAGGGATCTCCCCTTTGTGAAAGCATGTGTGGAAAACGACAGCAGGGGGAGAGAAGGCAGCTCGTCACAAAGTGCTGTTGGATTCAGCCTTCAGGCCAGGAGCAAGAGGCGATGGCGGCTTGGGCCCAGCAGATGACTGCAGGGGTTCAGGCAAGTGCAGTCTGACCCTCCCGCTGAGGACAGGCCCTGGGAAGCAGAGGGGGCGAGGCTGTGCTTGGTCGGGGTGGCAGGACACCTGGGCTTGGTCTTTGGGTGCGCGATGACGTGCTGTGGTCCCATGATGTGGGAAGGTCAGAACTTCCTGGGGGAGGAAGAGTAGGAGGGCTCGGCTGGGAGTTGGGCCTTTCTCTGGGATCTCAGATGTCGCCAATTCTCTCTGGGTCTCAGTTCTCCTTTCTGCTAAACTTTGGACTCAGGCCTGATGACCAGGGGTGCCTGCGAGCCTGGCTGTGTTCAGGGGGTACCCCCTTCATTGTGCCTTCTTGTTGGGCTCACTCCTAGCTTGGGCTGGGGAGGGACATCGGTCCACACCAGCCAGATGGGCAGCACTTTGGAGTAGTCCTGCATGCATGGCCTGGGTGAGTTACAGATGTGGCCCCCATCGGAGACCCACCCAGCCTTGACTGAGGCTGGTCGCGTGGGAACTTCCTGGTTTCTTAAGCAAAGTCAGCAGTTGGAAGCTGAGAGGAAGTGTTCCCTTTACAGGTCCTGTGTGAGCCTGACTGTTCTCATGTGCTGGGTCTGGCCTGCAGCCTGACATTCTGTGACCCACACCACACTCATGCTGCTGTCTGCATCCCCTCTTAGTGCTAGGGCTCCTGATGTGATAAGGAAGGAGTAGCTCACAGTTGGTGGGTGTCTGGTGTGGTTTTCATCCCCGGTGGGGCTCCCTCGTGGTCCATTGGAGCCCCGGAACCTCCTGTGAAGTCTGTACTCGACTTTCTTCCTGCCGTTTCTCTCGGAGGGTCACCCCCGGTGCAGCCAGGGCAGGAGGTTTTTTGTTCTTCTCTGCTGTGCTTCGCAGGTGGAGAGCCTCTCGCACTTTCTGGCCCATGCTAGCCTCACCCCGACCCTGCTGTGCTCTTGGGCCTGCTCTGTGTTAGTGAGAAGGTGGATATTGATCGCCGGGCACGGACTGGTTGTTTATCCTGACAAAGGATTGATCCCAGTCACTCATGTAGCCCCAGGACCGGGATGCAGGATCCGTCCAGCCAGCCGTGATGAAGCCGTTTGATCGGCCAGCTGGAGGGAGCAGCGTGCCTGCTGCCCTGGGCCTGTGCACCTTGGTATTGGCTGCTGCTCACCTCAGCTCTGCACGGCAGCCCGTCCAGCTGGCTGGTGGTCGAAGAGTGCCTTCTCTCAAGGAGCACCCGAGGGGGCTGCTGCTGCCCTTGAAGGTTTCCTGGTTGCTGACCTGTCAGGCCCTCCACAAGCCTCTGACTGGTGGAGCTCTGGGCCTCTGCGTCCCATCGGAGGTCCTGCCTATGTGCTTGACATTTTAGTACACAGTGCTTGGAGTACGCAGTTTTATTTTGAGACCTTTATTAAGCCGCTCTAGTCTAAGGATTTAATTGTTACTGATAGCTAAGAGTATAATTACCTTGGTAAAATATCATGACTATTTTAGGCCGTTGAAAATTGGCTTCTGGAACTGGGTGAACACAAACCATTTTCCTATTTGCAGTGAGCTACTTTTCCTGTGCCCCTAGGCTTCCACAATATGGCTGCAGAGTCTTGTTTATGGAATATCAGTAATACAAGCTAACTTTTAGCAAGAAACTCTAACAATGACAGAAAAGCTTACCCTCCACTCTCTCCCATTTTCTGCACTCAGCCCTCCCTCCCTTGTTTCAGAGCAGATTGTTTACTGGAGGCCACAGGCTGTTGGCGAGCAGGTGGCATTGGGTGTCCAGTGGTGTCTGACTCATGTCGCGGCTGCTGAGCACACAGTATGGTTGTCATGGTGGCATCCTGCCCTGGGAAGCTGCATATTGGGAAAGACAGAGATGCATGTATTCCGGAGTGGTCGACAGTCTGAGTTTTGAGCTCTGGGCCAGGGTCTTGGGTGTGTGCTCACTGAATGAGCACGTTCCTTGGCCACCTTCTCCAAAGCTGGGCTGGTGATGACAGACATTCCCCTCTCCCATGTTTTTCTTGCTGCCTAGAGCATCAGATATGCTCACTCCCATAAAGTTCCCTTTGTCAATCAAAAAACTCTACACAAACATTCCTGATGATCCCACGGGCTGAAAACCAACGTGGCTGGGCCTGGTATGGGATTGGGAGCAGATGAGCTTTAACAAGAGGGCTGGGACCCTGGACCCGCCTGTCACACTCAGCGATGGGAGAGCATGGGGAGCTGGCATCTGTATTTGCAGGGCACGGTTTAGGCCAGATCCATCTTGGGAGATAGCTGAAGGCAGATGGAGATGGGACCCAGGAGGGCCAATGGCTGCTGCTGTTTAAGAAACAATCAAATAGGGGGCAGAAGGCAGGCTGCTGTAGAATATCAAGGCAGAAAGTACAAGGGGGAACCCTTCAGAAGAGTTCCATGTTCTTCCTGCCTCATATCCAGAAGAGAGGTCCTGGAAGAAGCCTCTATCCTCCCATGAGAAGCTGCTGTCCTCCTGGAAGAAGCTTCTGTCCTCCCTTGAGCATCTGCTATCCTCCTGGAAGAAGCCTCTGTCCTCCCATGAGAACCTGCTGTCTTCCTTTAAGAACGTGCTGTCCTCCTGGAAGAAGCCTCTGTCCTCCCTTGAGAACCTGCTATCCTCCTAGAAGAAACCATTGTCCTCCTAGGAGAAGCTGCTGTCCTAGAACAAGCTGTCATCCTCCTGGGGGAAGCTGCCATCCTCCCAGGAGAAGCTGCTGTCCTCCTGGGAGAAGCCTCCATCCTGGGAGAAGCTGCCATCTTCCTGGGAGAAGCCACTGTCCTCTAGGAGAAGCTGCTGTCCTCCTGGGAGAGGCCTCCATCCTCCTGGGAGAAGCTGCTCTCTTCCTGCTATGTTCCTGGCCCAGAGTCAGCTCTTGTGAGCCTCTGAGCCATCCCAGCCTCTTAGAGTTGGCCAGAGCTGCTTCCTGAGGCTCCTTCTACGTGCTTTGGAGTCTTCGCCAGGGAATCTGAGACAGGAGAGGTGGACTTAGCTCAGAGATCCATGCACATGTTCTTAGTCGACTCTGCTAGGACCTCCTCTCTTCTTGGAGGTCATTTCCGTCCCTAGGGTGCTGTGCTGGAGTCTCCTATTCCCTTTTTGGCGGAGGGGCCCCGCCGGGATCTCAGTATTGAAAATTGTTTAAAAAAATGTTGCCCTTCCTGTCCATGTATTCACGGACATACCTGAGGCTGGGCTCCTGTGCGCCCCCTTGCTGGGTGTTCAGTGGGCTGCATACCCAGCCTCCTGGGATTCAGCATCTCGGCAGGGCCAGCTGCAAGGCCAGGCTCCTGGGCCCAGAACAGGACATGCATGTTTCTTGCTAAAGCTCAGTGTCGTCCATGGAGCCAGCCTGCTCACAGGAGGGGCTCTAGGCCTCCTTCTGGTCCATCCTAGGAAGGCAGTGCAGTCCTTGCTGGGACTCTCC